GCTCCAGCGCCCTCATACGGTGCACCATCACCTGCTTATGGCGCTCCCTCTCCTGGATTTGGCGCCCCCGCCCCCGGCTACGGAGCGCCAGCCCAGGGCTATGGACAGCCTATGCCTCAAGATCCGAATGCTCTCAACCAGCAGTTCGGGCAGATGAACATAGGCCAGGGACAAGCAGCCCCTCAAGTTCAGCAGCCCGCCGCAGCTACTCAGCAGAACCAACTGTTCCCCTCGGACCTCATCGCGCAGCCCTTCCACGTCTCGGAACTATACAACCCTCCTCCTCCGATCAACCTGCCCTCCAACGCCGCAGCCACCCCCTCCGAGTTCGCGAACGAGTCGAGTAAATACCTGCGATGTACGCTCAACACTATCCCTACCAACCACTCGCTGCTCAAGAAGAGCAAACTTCCATTCGCGCTCATCATAAGCCCGTATGCTAGTTTGCACGACTCAGAGGACCCTGTGCCAGTAGTACACGATCAGGTCATTAGCCGTTGTCGACGATGCCGCGCCTACATTAATCCGTTTGTCTCGTTCCTAGACCATGGGCACAGGTGGAGGTGCAACATGTGCAACCTGACCAACGATGTCCCCCAAGCATTCGATTGGGATGCAGCACAGCAGAAGAGCGTCGACCGCTGGCAGAGACCCGAGCTGAACTACGCAGTGACCGAGTTCGTTGCACCCCAGGAATACATGGTCCGCCCTCCACAGCCTCTGTGCTACTACATTCTCCTGGACTGTACCCAGGGAGCAGTGAACAGCGGACTTCTCGCTGTCGTCTCCAGGGTCATCAAGGAGTCCCTCGGCCGGATACCAAATGCAGACGGTCGGACACGCATCGGATTCATGGTGAGTTTTGGGCACAAAGAACACAAGTCACCTGTATACTGACTCGAAATAGGCCGTCGACAATGGGCTACATTTCTTTGGTATCCCTCCAGACAACAGCGAATCTAATGAACCCCAACAACTCGTGGTTTCCGATCTAGATGAGCCCTACCTTCCCATGCCCTCGGACCTTCTGGTCAGCCTCAGCCAATGCCGCAACAACATCGAGACCTTCCTTGACCGCCTTCCGACCATGTTCCAGAACACACACGTCCCTGGATTTGCGCTAGGCTCAGCTCTCCGATCCGCACATAAGCTCATTTCCCCGCTTGGTGGAAAGTTGACCGTCATTGCCGCGTCGCTGCCCAATGTTGGCCATGCAGCATTGAGCCCCCGAGAAGACAAATCATTATTGGGAACCGGCAAAGAAGGCAGTTTGTTGCAGCCTGCAAACAACTGGTACAAGTCGTTCGCCGTAGAATGCTCCAAGAACCAGGTTTCAGTGGACATGTTCCTGTTCTCCTCACAGTACCAGGATGTCGCAACGCTAAGCAACCTTCCGCGATTCACCGCCGGTCAGACATACTTTTACCCAGGATGGAATGCTGCAAGACAAGAGGATGTTGTCAAGATTGCAACTGAGTTGGCTGACTACTTATCTGCTGAGATTGGTCTAGAGGCTGTGCTCCGTGTGCGTGCTACCACCGGGTTGAGAATGTCCGCATTCTACGGAAACTTCTTCAACCGCTCGTCTGATCTCTGTGCCTTCCCGGCATACCCCAGAGACCAAGCTGTTGTAATCGAAGTCGCTATTGACGAGACAATCTCCAAGCCATTCGCCTGTCTACAGGCTGCTGTGCTCCATACTACTTCAAGTGGCCAGCGTCGTATCAGAGTTTTGACTCTTGCGGTGCCAACAACTGAGAGTCTAGCATCGGTCTATGCTTCAGCAGACGCACAAGCGATCACCACCTATTTCAGTCATAAGGCGGTTGAGCGAGCATTATCGAGTGGTCTTGATGCGGCGCGAGACGCATTGCAGGCCAAGGTCATTGAGATTCTGTCAACCTACAGGAAGGAGTTGGCAGGTGGAAGTATGGGCGGTGGTGGTCTGCAGCTACCACAAAACCTGCGCGCTCTCCCCATATTGTTCCTTGGTCTTATCAAGAACGTTGGTCTTCGTAAGAGCGCTCAGATTCCAAGCGATCTTCGATCAGCTGCTCTCGATCTCCTTTCTACACTACCACTGCGACTGCTTACGCAGTACATTTACCCATCTTTCTACTCTCTTCACGACATGCCTGATGACGCTGGTGTACCGGAGCCTGCTACTGGTCAGATTACAATGCCACCCGCGTTGAACCTCTCTAGTGCAGCTATCGTCCCGTACGGCTTGTACCTCCTGGACGACGGTGTCAACCAATTCTTGTAAGTGCATATGCACATTCGCTGTTGATGCAGACTAACGTAGCTAGATGGATCGGCCGCGATGCTGTTCCAGCACTCCTGAACGATGTGTTTGGCGTCGAAGACCGTACACAACTGAAGCAGGGCAAGGCTTCATTGCCTCTCCTTGACAATGAATACTCGGAACGAGTTCGAGCCGGTAAGCCATTTTTACTGATGATGTAGACCGTTCAAACTGCTGACATGAGATAGTTGTGGAGAAGTCGAGGGACCACAAGTCGAAGGGCGTGGGTTCTATCACTCTGCCTACCCTGTATATCATCAAGGAAGATGGCGACCCAAGCCTCAAGCTATGGGCGCAAACACTACTCGTCGAAGACCGCGCAGACCAAGGAGAGAGTATCGTTCAGTGGATCAGCAAACTCCGGGAAAAGGTATACCAATGAGTCAGCTGCGTACTCGGAGACAACACTGACGTCTCACTTAGGTTGTGCAGTAAGCACCGACTACGTATGTGGGCACGTGTTGTTTAGGCGGTGTGGATTGAGCGAGTTGATTCCGCAGCATTGGCGTAAGATACGAAGAAGAAATCATCATTGCTTGGGGCGGTAGGTTCGTGACTGGGAGTCGCACCAAGCGAGTTCATGACTTATATAACAGAGCAATGTGATACCAGCTTTCATCATATCGTTCTTTGTCGCCTCGGCTCAGTGCTCGTACTACGATTCGTGCGGCGAGGGTGCTGCCCGTCATTGCTACACGACATGAATTGCATGGCAATGGAACATAGCGCTAGGCTGCCGTGCGAGTATTGGCGAGGGGTGAATGTGAACTTGAGGGTCGATATCTACTCCAAGTCAACCCCGTGCTGGTGTATACAGCTAGGACGACTGCTGCTATTCGTAATCGATAGGACGTACCTCGGTACTAGCGCACGGGCTATCACGGTCCGTCCTGGCTGCTGGTGGCAGGTACCCATCGTTAGCTCGCGATTGAACGCGAGTAATGACCCCTCAACACCAGTGCCGCCATCGCCATCGCCACCGCTGCTGGCGGCGCATGCTTCCAGACATCTGGTCCGCCCGCTAATACAAGCCCGCATAGTTCGGTAAAGCTACTATTCTGGACACTGCGCTTCGCGTGTACACTATGTGTTTCACCATGCTACCAGCTGCAGCAACATGGAAGACAAGTATTTTCTTTCGAGGTAACGCACGCTCCTCGTGTGGATATGCACCTAAGCAACGTGTCAATAGCGATGCTGCATCTCACCTAGGCACCAGAAATGCAATCCTGGTAGTGCGAGTATACGAGACGAGCAAAGTATGGTACGGACCACGCAAAGAAGTGCAGATGACCACGATATCCGCGATCCATGGTATCATCCCGCGTGTGTCCGTCATGTTCCACCGAATCATATTTTGCTTGCCAGGAACTAGTCGGTCCACTGGGTCCTTCGCCTTTCTGTCAGCGTTTCCGAGCTATGGACTGTGATGGCAAACAACTGTCACGCACCGCCTACAGCCCAACGCCATGGGACAGACCATGTTCGCTGACCGCCTCGTTCAATAGCCTCTGGCGCCGTTTGCGCTGCAAGACGCAAAATTTGAGTCGCTGAAGTCCGGCAGAACCACGGATGCTAGTCTTTCGCTTCGGCAAGGTACAAAGGTACAACACTTTTCTGTGGACCTGGTCGAGTCCCCTTGCATCGGCGCTCGCCCACGCTGCTAGCTTGCAGCGCCTATCCGTGTCAACCAATTGCTTCGGCATGGCAGTGTCAGCTTTGTCTCGAGGCAGACGCCATGCCGGCCTGCTTATGATGATCTTGTCCAGCGCGCGCAACTTGCCTCTGAGGACCGGCCAGCGGCGCCGACGCTGCTATGCCATGGTCAGCCAACATGACCCCGATTTCTCTGATAGCACGTGAAATGCGGCAGTGGGCGTTGGTAGGTGTTTCGTCATCAATAATCAACTTGCGCATGCTCAGGTCCCGGCCACAACGCACGACCTAGGCCAAGTAGTCAGGTTCTGGCGACCCGTCGCTGCAAGCATGTGCTATGGCCGTTGTTAGCGACCGGAAACAGACAGTGGTATCCAGAGAGCCCCACCGTGGGACATGGCACCGTGTTCTGCAACCATGGCCGATAATTTGACTGCAGACGAGTGCTGCTCATCAGGGCTCGCAGACGATACTGTGGGTGGTCTGACAGGCGGACGAGCATGCTCTGGGGCTGAGCTGCACCGCTTCATCATGTCTGGGTAGGCGGGCCAAGCCATCGCTAATTCCAAGGATCTGCAGGCAAGATGTGCCCTCGTCGCAAGGTGGATCGGACTCTAACCCCAGCCTTCTGCCAGGCCGTCCGTCCAGGGCGCACGACAAAGCCGCTAAGATCCCGTCCTGTGCCTTACCAACCCCTCCTCGCATGCAGTTGCGACGCAATCGTGAGTTCGTCTCTAATCCCGTTCTCCTGCGTCGACACCTGTTCCTCTGCCTTCATACCCGGGTCTTGCACCGTCTAGCTGCATCGCTACAAGAGCCGCATCCTGCCGCTTCTGCTCGAGCCCTTGTGCGCATCGAGTGTGCGTCAAAGAGGGGCCAATCTCCCCGCCACCTGAGGCAGTCCATCCTGCGCCTTATCATACCCAGCCCAAAGTCCGAGTATCCGTGGTTGCTCAACCCTCACCACTGGTCAGCCTTTGGACGACCCCAACTTGACGATTTTACGACGCAACGATCGAACTTAACCAGACCTTGTAGATTTTCTTGACTTTGCTCGCTGGGCGCTGTGTCCGGATGTTGTTGCAACGCCGCTCTCTATTCGTCATCATCTCGTTTCAGCCTTCCCACACCCGCTCCAGCAAGGAACCACCCGCAGTATCACACTGATTGCGCCGCTGGAGGCAACCCACCTGGGACCTGCGCTTGCATTAACGTCCCAGTCTTAGATCACTGGCGCTACCGTACCGTGTCCTGTCGTGTACGCCGTAAGCTATACGCGCCCCGTCACTGTAGAACGACCTGCGCAGCACGCTCACCACGACACGGAACAAGAGGTGGACATTGTAGACTGCTGGTCATCGGCCCCTCCAACATGTCTTCCTTCCAAGCAGTCAACACTACATTGTCGGTTCCAGATCCGCCACAGGGCCGCCCAGGTGACGAGACGACGCCCACTACTCCCCGACCGAATAGCAGATTCTTTGCCGAATCGAAAGCGGCCGAGGAAATCCGCACTGAAGACCCATCAGCTAAGACGCCTACACGTAACACCTTTGCGGGACTCGTTGGTCAGCGACCACTGCCTTCATCGCCTTTCACACCCGCCCGTGAGCTGAGCGAGACACCTTCCGCTTCGAACAAGAGTGAGCAGAGTAGAGAGGATTCGCATAGGTCAACAGCCTCCGGTCAAGACGTGCATATGGGCGATGGTGACGAGGACGACAAAGATGGATCGGACAACGATAGCGTGACTAGTGATTCGAACCGACCGTCCAAGAAGAAGAAGGGACAGCGCTTCTTCTGCACCGACTTTCCGCCTTGTAACCTGAGCTTCACACGAAGTGAGCACCTGGCACGACACATTCGGTACGTCTTTCATCGTGCGTTGTCCCGCATTCGCTAACATGCTGTAGTAAACACACAGGTGAACGTCCCTTCCAGTGTCACTGCTCACGACGATTTTCACGTCTCGACAACCTGCGACAGCATGCTCAAACAGTTCACGTCAACGAAGATATACCCTCTGAATCGTTAGCCGCAACGGGCACAAGGTTCCAACGGCAGATCCGGACCGACCGAGTAAGACCACCTGGAAATCGTTCTCGAGCAAACACACTAGGCAGTACCGGAGGTCACAGCAGAGGTCACAGCAGAAACCTTTCTGCATCCAGTATAACCTCTACAATATCGACAATGAGTGTGGCACAATCTCCAGACATACGGCGACGACCCCCACCTTTGGCTATGGCTAGCGATGGTGGTGCAAGTGCAAGAGCACGCTTGTCGCTCAACACTATGAATGCATATGACCCACCCATGATGGGTAGTCCTGGGCCCGTGGAGTACGATACACAGTCCAACGCGCCTACAACGCCTACTTCTGCGACATTCTCTACAGTTACTGGTAGCCCCGCTCGCTTCGGGTCTGCTATGCAGTCTCCTGTATCAAGTTCATCAAGGCCAGTCTCATGGGCTGGACCACCGCCTCCGGGACGCCGCCAATCTATCTCTTCCAGTGGCAATCCTTTCTCCGGTGCACCAGGACAGGCTCCTCCTACCTACATTACGCCTCTACAATCGACTGCTGCCCCTGCCTACTCAGCACAAAGCAGCGCATATGCAAGCCCTACAGCGTCCCAATTTCCAGAATCAAGGAGAGACTCGAATGCGGAGGCGGACTGGAGGCGACGAACTTGGCACCCAGGAGTTTATACTGGTCCTCGACCAGCGACTAGTGGACTTGGATACCACCAGACACCGGATGCTCCACGCCCTCTATACACCTCACAGCCTGCTGCTTCTCAGACCACCAGACTCCCAGGGATCGAAAGCTTCGACCATGCTCCGCCTCCGCCTCCGCTACCTCGGCGTCAGCCAAGTCCGATGCAAGTTGATGCTCCGGCACGTCCGCTTACTTATCACGCGCCAATGGAGCACACGTCCAATAGAGGTCACCACAAACGAACGAGCATTTCATGGGAAATCGACCGTCTGAACATTGCTAGTCCAGGTTCTCAAAGTAATCAGTGGTCACAACAATACCCTGGCAGCGCAGGCCGAGCAAACGCTGCACGACCCACGACAGCCCCTCATGGCTACTTCAGTCGTCAACCCTCCAATGTTCAGCCTATTCAGATTCCTTCAATTAACGCCTCGCCCAGAACCTCGCAGGAACAGCCAGTGACACCTCGAAAGAACAAGCGACAAGCCTGGTACAATGGACCTGTCAGTCAGCCGCAAAGAGCTATGCAGAGAACGTCACCCGAGGACTCCAGTAGCAGCGAAGGTGTACCGACGCCAGGCACTATGATCGACTATCACCCTGCTATTGTCCACAGCAACGGGTATGTCGAAGCGCCAGCAGTTGTTGAAGATTACAAAACCGCGCCACCAGCGTCAATTATGGAGAGGCCCCACCCTTTGCATTCACAGCCTCCGCAACATTACCATAGCCACAGCCTTTCGAGCTCGAGCTCAAGCTATCGCCCGCAGCGCGAACCCGAGCGGGGACCCGCAACGTTCGGTCAGCCACTGCCGCAGACAGCCAACAACGACATGCGACGCTTAGAAGCGCTTGTAGCAGTGGCCACTGGCGAGCAGCAAGCCGTCGAGAACCGGTCTTAGGTCAGCTGATCGTTACCCACTGATCCACACGACACATCATCACATTACTTCAAACCTCACAAGTACGCGCAACGATGTCACGACTTGGAAGAACATAACGAATCTCCTATGATTGAACGCGAATGATATATATATCTGGTTTTGCTCCAGTAACCAATGACAAGTCTCGGTCTTTGCTTTTTCCCCTCCAGCCTTTCCTCCAGAAATTTGCCAAAGGTGGAGGCTCTTGTTGTCGCTTTCCATATGATACCAATCGGAGCTTCTGCTCGAACTTCCTTGGGATACCCCGATCCGGCATATATTTTCCTTTGAGTCATTTTCTTTGTTTGTGTGTATTTGGCTTTTTGCTGTCGTTTTAGGGATATACCAAATCGATCGTACAATAGCGGGAGTCTGGAGTTATTCTATTGGATTTTCTATTTTGTCCTGACGCCTTTCTTCTTGGTCATACTGTCATGCTGTTATTGCTGGAGAGTCACTGAAGGCGAACATTGGTAATGGCAGGAAGTCACTTTCTGGTAGAGAATCAGTAGCTGTCTTCGGACATTCTTAACATGCTTGTATATGCTTTTAACACTTGACTTTGACATGTATTTTGTATTGTGACGTTTTTGGCGAAGGTTCTGCTGATATCGAGCGTCACTCTGGACACAAGTTGAGAGATGCACGTAAATGCCTGCGCGTTTCCCCTTCCCTCTTATTCATCAACTCCTCTTCCTACAGTATCAGAATTACGAACAACGCGCTGGCTATCACGCACCTACCAAAGACTGGTACCATAAGACTCACCCTGAGAGGAGCGATCACGTACTCATGACGTATAGAAGAGAGAACCTTGTCACTGGATCAGATGTCTCTATCGGTGAGTGCTATATCCTCTAGCATAGGATCTCAACTTTAGACTGGGTGAGACCAGACATGCTGAGCAGAACCAAAACAGGCCTAGAAATAGCGCCCGGTTCAGCGTCCATATGCTTCTCGTCGAGTGAACTCGAAGTACGCCTACCTGTTTGCATCGAGGATCAGCCTCAATGACAGTCAAGACGTTAGTTGTGGTGAGCCTGTGTCATATCATACACTGTCTGTGCGTCTTAGCGTGGCTTTGGAAGTGGCGGCCCCGTTGCCGTAGAAACATGGAACGTTTCGGGCAAAGCGTGCTATTTCCCATGCAAGCCCCGCGTACCCTATGCCCAGTGTATACACATCCGATTCGAGCAACAACGACAGCGGGTAAGACTCTTGGTTCTGTACCTGGATTTTGATACCCATCTTTTTTTCTTCTTGTTTCTTTGTGATACCCCTACCGGCGCCATGGGTTCTGACGATCTTATTGACTTCGAAGTCATTGAGAATCAAAAGGAAAACATCCAGAGTCTGCCCAGCGGACGTTCTGCAAGAGCGCTCGCGCAGCTTTACACGCCACCGTTGACTTCGGCCGCTGGCCAAACTCGGTCCCCGTCGCAGATGCAAGATGAACACAGCGCAACTCGCCTCGGATTCGAGAAGGAGCTCATGGCGATTGACGACTCCGACGACCCACTCGATGTCAGTAGTACCAATACACGAACTGCATGTGGTGAGACATGTACTGACTTTGTGCACACGAATCCAGATCTACACCCGCTATGTAAAGTGGACGCTTGAAGCATACCCGTCCGCACAAAACACACCTCAGTCGCAACTTTGTCCGCTCCTCGAGCGCGCAACGAAAGCCTTCCAATCCTCACCGGAGTACAAGAACGACGCGCGCTACCTCAAGCTCTGGCTGCACTACATTCACCTCTTCTCAGACGCGCCGCGGGAGACGTTCGCCTACCTGGCGCGACACAATATTGGAGAGAACCTTGCGCTATTCTACGAAGAATTTGCGGCCTGGTTAGAAGGCGCAGGCCGCTTCACACAAGCAGAGGAGATCTACAACCTGGGCATCGACCGCGAAGCCCGCCCAGTTGAGCGCTTGATTCGCAAGTACGGAGAATTTCAGCACCGTCTCGAAAGCCGCCCTCAGGAGGCTCCCGAACCTTCAAGCCCCGCACTCCCTGCCGTTCGTCCAGCCCTTGCCGCTAAGATGGACCCTTTTGCGCTTGCGTCACCCAGTGCGCCGAGCCCGCAACCACAGAGCCAGCCGAAGACCGCTGGAGGTGCATCTCGCTCAGGAAAGCCCAAACTTGCAATCTTCTCGGACGGTGATGATGCCGCAAGACCTGGCTCGACAGGTAGCACAGAGGGGTGGGACAGCATTGGATCGCTCGCAGACCGCAAGAAGGAAAACGCGACCGAAGCACGCCCCTGGGCGGGTGAGACTCTGAAGGTTGGAAAGAAGAACACTGGCGTTCCAAAAATGTCGATTTTCAAGGATGAGGTGAGTTGATCTGCCTACATCAGCCCCTCCATATATTTACGACCACAGGACTAATTGGTGGGCGTTTGCCATGCATGTATTCAGACCAAATCGAATCCCAATGACGAAAATGTCAGCCCCCACCCATTGCGTGAATATCAACAAGCGGTCAACCCAAGGACTGGTAGACTTGAAGTAGTCTTCGTAGATCTAGAGCAGGTGTACCCTAACCATGAAGATCCTATGTCGGAAGAATACTCATTTGAAGAACTGCGAGCTAAGTACAGGGGGTGGATGGATCATGATTGGGATGCCATTCGCCGCAAAGAGCAGGAGCGGGCAAAGAAAGCAGCCGAAGAGGAAGTGGTTGCTGAACGACCAAAGACCAAGGCCGCACCTCTAGCGCCTAAGCAGGATCATGAACAGCCCCCCAAGCCGAAGACTGTACCCTTGAAAGGTAGTGTTGATGACGACATGGGTAACGACGAAAACGCGCCACCTTCACAAGCAGATGTAGACAAAGCAAGGGCAGCTAAGAAAGCCAGACGAGAGGAGCGGGCCAACAGAACTAGGAAGATCAAGGTTATGGAGGTCAAGGAAGTTCGCGGGGAGACTCAGACAAGTAAGTGATCGGCTGGACATCTGGTTGTCACTTGTACACTAACAAGGAACAGTCCAAGCCAACTTGGATTCTCCGGCGAAGCCAAAGATACGGCGAAAGAAGACTGGCCCAGAAACGACAATGACCCTCCACACCAAGGAGGCCATGGACGAAATATACGATATTTTCAACGAACCACTAAAGAACGCTGATGAGGAAGTCTCCGAGGTCCAAAGTGGTGAAGAAAGCAGTGGGGACGATGAGGATGACTATACGAGTGGAGCCGAAAGTACTGCTACTGGTCGCATATCGTGCGCTACGAGCGAATTCGGAGACGAGACAACAGTGGGAGATTTCACACTCGGCACTAGGGTTCTCAACACCGAAGAAGACGAAGAGGAAGATGAAGATGAAGATGAAGATGAAGAAAGTGATGCCAATGATTCAGACACCAAAAGTGCCTCTGCATGGTCAGACTTCACTGAGAGCAAACACGTGCCTAAGGATCATGAAAACGATGGATCAGATGATGAGTCCGAACATTCCGAGCATTCTCATGACGACTCGTTTGATGAGTTGACACGTCCAGATGTCGACTCCGAACAGCAACGGGAATCTGATGTAGTCACCCCTACCTCACCTTCAGCACCTGCTTCACTACCTACTCGCTTTGTCCCTGTCCCACCAGAAGACTATGTTCCAGCAATGCAGCCCTATCGAGACCCGATACAGGCTGCGAACAATCGGTTGCCATTCATGACACCGATTGTTGAGAAGACGGAGTCGTCCTTGGGCATCGCCACTGCTTATGCACAGAAGGACTATTTTAGCGCTGCTACCAAGACGCCGTCAAGATCGAAAGGTACAACTGACATTCTTGAGGATGACGACGAGGATGAGACTTGCAGTAGTCCCTTTGCAGATCTTTTAAGTCAAGTTATTGACGGTTCAGGGAAAGTCGCGAAACTCGCCCTGACAGAATCGAAGCCAGTACCCAAAGAGCCCATCGCGGAACCGCAACGGAAACCGTTGGCTGCAAAGGAGGTTTCGTCTAAAGCACCAAAGGCTAGCGGTCCAATCATTAAAGACGCGCAGTGTAATCCGGTAGACGAGAACGTCCGCAAGACCATTCTGCAAGAAATCCAGCCGCCACTAGATAGCTACGACGGATACTACGCAGACACCGAAGAGAGCTACGGAAAGGGTGCTGATATACGCAAGTACACCAAGTCCGTCAAAACGAGCAAGGCAGAGAAGACTTCCACAAACCTTGCTCTCTGTCCTACTCTGCAGTTCCCGGGAACAAAGCGGACATATGCCGTCAAACGTGAACTTGGCAAAGGAGCTTTTGCGCCAGTGTATCTGGTAGAAAGCAAAGATTCCGAGGACGAGGACGACGAGAACAAACCTTCGCAGATGGGCAAGGGCGAATTCGGCCTAAAGCGGAAGGATCTGGAAGCTATCAAGATGGAGGATCCGCCAACGCCGTGGGAATTCTACATTATGCGACAAGCCAAGCGACGACTAGGCGTGTCTCGAGCGGCTGATTCGATCGTTTGCGCGTACGAGATGCACGTCTTTAAAGACGAGTGTTATCTTGTGGAAGAGTATCGAGACCAAGGTACTCTTTTGGATCTCGTAAACCTCTCTCGTGGGGAAAATGGTGTCATGGACGAGCAACTTGCCATGTTCTTCACTATCGAGTTATTCCGTACGGTGGAGGCCCTTCATTCCAAGGGTGTGATACACGGTGACCTCAAGTCTGACAACATTCTCGTTCGGTTTGATGCCTTACAAAAGGACGAGCATTGGGACTCGGAGTACAAGCGCGACGGGCGTGATGGCTGGTCTGCGAAGGGTGTCTCGCTGATCGATTTCGGCCGTGGCATTGACATGAAGGCCTTCAAGCCAGATGTACAGTTCATCGCAGACTGGCCTACTACAGAAGCCGACTGTGCAGAGATGCGCGAACTCCGTCCTTGGACCTACCAGATCGACTATCACGGGCTTGCTGGCATAGTCCACAATCTGCTATTTGGCAAGTATATCTCTACGATAGCTGAGCGCGGCGCAACTCTCGGTGCTGGCGCGACCAAA